GTAAAATGTACTTTATAATGCAACATGTGTGAGGAAGGAAGTCAGGGGAGTCACACTATTATTCCCCAGGGGGGGCATTTTCAGTGTTACACATCATAATTCACACAATGTACACTAGGGATGTGCATGGGCAAAAAATGTGGTTCAATACTTCCGAAATTTGTGACTTCGGCAATTCGGGACTTCGGCTCAGCACTTTGCAATTCCCTAAGCCTACCCCTAACCCTACCCTTAACCCTACTAGGGTTAGGGTTGAGGTTAGGTTCGGGGTAGGGGTAAGGAAGGGGTAAGGTTAGGGGTAGGGTTAGATTCCTTAATTTTCCCTCCCTCTCCAGTTTTGACACTTTTCAGAAATCCAAAGCACTTCTGAAGTTCGGCACTTCGGTTCGGTTCGGCACTTCGGCAATTTGGCACTTCCGAAATTCAGCACTTCGGCAATTCGGAAGTATCCGAATGTCCGAATTGCCGAAATTTGTTCGAATTTAAATTTGGACCAAAACGAATTGCACATGTCTAATGTACACACAAGTACACCCACATTCATGCTACCTACATATTCACTCTTCCTTACTCACTGGAGAAAAACAAAAATACACCACTAACCGCTATATATATACAGTTATATATATATACAGTTTATTTGTTGGTTTTACTGTATTGTGTACTCCCAAAAGAGACCGACCGCACAGCCTGATTTCATGGAACTGTTTTGGGCAGGAGCATCGTGTGCCGTCGGTCAAACTATGTCTTCCATGGAAATCTCGAACCTCTGAAACGATATGGGTGATTTTTTAATATGTTGGTCCCCTAGATCGGAGCTTTAAGGGGATGTGACTTTTGTGGGGTTTTCATGTGTTTTGGGGGTACTTTTGGGTTATTGTAACATATATGTTTTCTGTGCCTGGGGATAATTGAGTTTAGTACAGTTTCTGACTCAATTATCTCTCAGGCACAGGGGAGGGATTATTTTGTTTTGTGTGGGAGTGTCCTGGACCTGAGAGCCAATATAATTACAGTGGGTGCTTTGTCACAGTCCCCTCTCAGGTCCAGTGGGGAATGCCCCTGAATATGTCATGGAAAACCCCTTGCATGGGGACTTGCATATGAGACCAGTTGTGGCTGGCATTAAACAGTTCCTCTTCACCCTCAACATAGAGCCTCGCCTCATGTGTGGAGGGGACAGCTATATTTACTCTGGGGATTGCTATATCACTATACTTGAATTACAACACTAGCTCCTGTAAGAGCTATCCTGCTATACTCTCTGGAGTAGGAGAGGTCTACCCACTGGAAGCTGGATTCCTGACTGGGGTCCAGGGTGGGTGGAGGACTGCGAGACCCCAGCCAAGCTGCAGCGGCTGGGGGGTTTATGGTGGTTATGGTGTTCCAATGCAGTGCTTTTTGGTGCCCGCAATTACAAGGAAGCAGCGATTGGCAGAGGCACCCAGTCGGGGTGCCAGGCAGTCCGTCACACTGACCATCTATATAAATCCAACACTGACCGTCTATATACATCTATCACTGACCGTCTATATAAATGCAGCATTGACCTTCTATATAAATCCAACACTGACCCTCTATATAAATCCAACACTGACCGTCTATATAAATCCAACACTGACCGTCTATATAAATCCAACACTGACCCTCTATATAAATCCAACACTGACCCTCTATATAAATCCAACACTGACCCTCTATATAAATCCAACACTGACCGTCTATATAAATCCAACCCTGACCCTCTATATAAATCCAACACTGACCGTCTATATAAATCCAACCCTGACCCTCTATATAAATCCAACACTGACCCTCTATATAAATCCAACGCTGACCATTTATATAAATCCAATGCTGACCGTCTATATAAATCCAACCCTGACCCTCTATATAAATCCAACCCTGACCCTCTATATAAATCCAACGCTGACCGTCTATATAAATCCAACACTGACCGTCTATATAAATCCAACGCTGACCGTCTATATAAATCCAACGCTGATCCTCTATATAAATCCAACACTGACCGTCTATATAAATGCAGCATTGACCTTCTATATAAATCCAACACTGACCCTCTATATAAATCCAACACTGACCGTCTATATAAATCCAACGCTGACCGTCTATATAAATCCAACGCTGACCCTCTATATAAATTCATCGCTGACCATCTATATAAATCCAACGCCGACCGTCTATATAAATCCGACGCTGACCGTATATATAACTACAAAGCTGACCGTCTATATAAATCCAATGCTGACCCTCTATATAAATCCAACGCTGACCATCTATATAAATCCAACATTGACCCTCTATATAAATATAACACTGACCCTATATATAAATCCAACACTGACCATTTATATAAATCCAACACTGACCCTCTATATAAATCCAACACTGACCGTCTATATAAATCCAACACTGACCGTCTATATAAATTCAACCCTGACCATCTATATAAATCCAACACTGACCCTCTATATAAATCCAACACTGACCCTCTATATAAATCCAACGCTGACCGTCTATATAAATCCAACGCTGACCCTCTATATAAATCCAACACTGACCCTCTATATAAATCCAACGCTGACCATTTATATAAATCCAACCCTGACCGTCTATATAAATCCAACCCTGACCCTCTATATAAATCCAACCCTGACCCTCTATATAAATCCAACGCTGACCGTCTATATAAATCCAACGCTGACCCTCTATATAAATCCAACACTGACCGTCTATATAAATCCAACGCTGACCGTCTATATAAATCCAAGCTGACCCTCTATATAAATCCAACACTGACCGTCTATATAAATCCAACGCTGACCGTCTATATAAATCCAACGCTGACCCTCTATATAAATCCAACACTGACCATCTATATAAATGCAGCATTGACCTTCTATATAAATCCAACACTGACCCTCTATATAAATCCAACACTGACCGTCTATATAAATCCAACGCTGACCGTCTATATAAATCCAACGCTGACCCTCTATATAAATTCATCGCTGACCATCTATATAAATCCGACGCCGACCGTCTATATAAATCCGACGCTGACCGTATATATAACTACAAAGCTGACCGTCTATATAAATCCAATGCTGACCCTCTATATAAATCCAACGCTGACCATCTATATAAATCCAACATTGACCCTCTATATAAATATAACACTGACCCTCTATATAAATCCAACACTGACCATTTATATAAATCCAACACTGACCCTCTATATAAATCCAACACTGACCGTCTATATAAATCCAACACTGACCGTCTATATAAATCCAACCCTGACCATCTATATAAATCCAACACTGACCCTCTATATAAATCCAACACTGACCCTCTATATAAAACGCTGACCATATAAATCGCTGACCGCCTATATAAATCCAACGCTGACCCTCTATATAAATCCAACACTGACCCTCTATATAAATCCAACGCTGACCATTTGTATAAATCTCAACGCTGACCGCCTATATAACCAACCCTGACCATATAAATCCAACACCTGCTGACCGCCTATATAACTGATATATAATGACCTCTATAGCTGACCCCTCTATATAAATCCAACGCTGACCTCTATATAACCAACGCTGACCGCCTATATAAATCCAACATTGACCCTCTATATAAATCCAACACTGACTGCCTATATAAATCCAACGCTGACCATCTATATAAATCCAACGCTGACCCTCTATATAAATCCAACGCTGACCCTCTATATAAATCCAACGCTGACCATCTATATAAATCCAACATTGACCCTCTATATAAATCCAACGCTGACCCTCTATATAAATCCAACACTGACCCTCTATATAAATCCAACACTGACCCTCTATATAAATCCAACGCTGACCCTCTATATAAATCCAACGCTGACCCTCTATATAAATCCAACATTGACCCTCTATATAAATCCAACACTGACCCTCTATATAAATCCAACGCTGACCCTCTATATAAATCCAACATTGACCCTCTATATAAATCCAACACTGACCCTCTATATAAATCCAACACTGAACGTCTACATAAATCCAACACTGACCCTCTATATAAATCCAACATTGACCCTCTATATAAATCCAACACTGACCCTCTATATAAATCCAACACTGACCCTCTATATAAATCCAACACTGACCCTCTATATAAATCCAACGCTGACCGTCTATATAAATCCAACGCTGACCCTCTATATAAATCCAACGCTGACCCTCTATATAAATCCAACATTGACCCTCTATATAAATCCAACACTGACCCTCTATATAAATCCAACGCTGACCCTCTATATAAATCCAACATTGACCCTCTATATAAATCCAACACTGACCCTCTATATAAATCCAACGCTGACCGACCCTCTATATAAATCCAACACTGACCCTCTATATAAATCCAACACTGACCCTCTATATAAATCCAACGCTGACCCTCTATATAAATCCAACGCTGACCGTCTATATAAATCCAACACTGACCGTCTATATAAATCCAACACTGACCCTCTATATAAATCCAACATTGACCCTCTATATAAATCCAACGCTGACCGTCTATATAAATCCAACGCTGACCCTCTATATAAATCCAACGCTGACCCTCTATATAAATCCAACACTGACCCTCTATATAAATCCAACACTGACCGTCTATATAAATCCAACGCTGACCGTCTATATAAATCCAACGCTGACCCTCTATATAAATCCAACGCTGACCCTCTATATAAATCCAACGCTGACCCTCTATATAAATCCAACGCTGACCCTCTATATAAATCCAACGCTGACCCTCTATATAAATCCAACACTGACCCTCTATATAAATCCAACGCTGACGTCTATATAAATCCAACGCTGACCCTCTATATAAATCCGACGCCGACCGTCTATATAAATCCGACGCTGACCGTATATATAACTACAAAGCTGACCGTCTATATAAATCCAATGCTGACCCTCTATATAAATCCAACACTGACCCTCTATATAAATCCAACGCTGACCATCTATATAAATCCAACGCTGACCCTCTATATAAATCCGACGCCGACCGTCTATATAAATCCGACGCTGACCGTATATATAACTACAAAGCTGACCGTCTATATAAATCCAATGCTGACCCTCTATATAAATCCAACGCTGACCATCTATATAAATCCAACACTGACCCTCTATATAAATCCAACACTGACCGTCTATATAAATCCAACGCTGACCGTCTATATAAATCCAACGCTGACCCTCTATATAAATTCATCGCTGACCATCTATATAAATCCAACGCCGACCGTCTATATAAATCCGACGCTGACCGTATATATAACTACAAAGCTGACCGTCTATATAAATCCAATGCTGACCCTCTATATAAATCCAACGCTGACCATCTATATAAATCCAACATTGACCCTCTATATAAATATAACACTGACCCTATATATAAATCCAACACTGACCATTTATATAAATCCAACACTGACCCTCTATATAAATCCAACACTGACCGTCTATATAAATCCAACACTGACCGTCTATATAAATTCAACCCTGACCATCTATATAAATCCAACACTGACCCTCTATATAAATCCAACACTGACCCTCTATATAAATCCAACGCTGACCGTCTATATAAATCCAACGCTGACCGTCTATATAAATCCAACGCTGACCCTCTATATAAATCCAACACTGACCCTCTATATAAATCCAACGCTGACCATTTATATAAATCCAACGCTGACCGTCTATATAAATCCAACCCTGACCCTCTATATAAATCCAACCCTGACCCTCTATATAAATCCAACGCTGACCGTCTATATAAATCCAACGCTGACCCTCTATATAAATCCAACACTGACCCTCTATATAAATCCAACGCTGACCCTCTATATAAATCCAACGCTGACCGTCTATATAAATCCAACATTGACCCTCTATATAAATCCAACACTGATCGTCTATATAAATTCAACGCTGACCGTCTATATAAATCCAACGCTGACCCTCTATATAAATCCAACACTGACCCTCTATATAAATCCAACACTGACCCTCTATATAAATCCAACACTGACCCTCTATATAAATCCAACACTGACCCTCTATATAAATCCAACACTGACCCTCTATATAAATCCAACACTGACCGTCTATATAAATCCAACGCTGACCGTCTATATAAATCCAACACTGACCCTCTATATAAATCCAACACTGACCCTCTATATAAATCCAACGCTGACCGTCTATATAAATCCAACGCTGACCCTCTATATAAATCCAACGCTGACCCTCTATATAAATCCAACATTGACCCTCTATATAAATCCAACACTGAACGCCTATAAATCCAACACTGACCCTCTATATAAATCCACCATTGACCATCTATATAAATCCAACACTGACCGTCTATATACATCTATCACTGACCGTCTATATAAATGCAGCATTGACCTTCTATATAAATCCAACACTGATATAAATCCAACACTGACCGTCTATATAACACTGACCCTCTATATAAATCCAACTGACCCTCTATATAAATCCAACGCTGACCGTCTATATAAATCCAACACTGACCGTCTATATAAATCCAACACTGAACGTCTATATAAATCCAACACTGAACGTCTATATAAATCCAACACTGACCGTCTATATAAATCCAACCCTGACCCTCTATATAAATCCAACACTGACCGTCTATATAAATCCAACACTGACCCTCTATATAAATCCAACGCTGACCGTCTATATAAATCCAACACTGACCGTCTATATAAATCCAACACTGAACGTCTATATAAATCCAACACTGAACGTCTATATAAATCCAACACTGAACGTCTATATAAATCCAACGCTGACCGTCTATATAAATCCAACACTGACCGTCTATATAAATCCAACACTGAACGTCTATATAAATCCAACGCTGACCGTCTATATAAATCCAACACTGACCGTCTATATAAATCCAACACTGACCGTCTATATAAATCCAACACTGACCCTCTATATAAATCCAACGCTGACCCTCTATATAAATCCAACACTGAACGTCTATATAAATCCAACGCTGACCCTCTATATAAATCCAACACTGACCATTTATATAAATCCAACACTGACCGTCTATATAAATCCAACACTGAACGTCTATATAAATCCAACACTGAACGTCTATATAAATCCAACACTGACCGTCTATATAAATCCAACCCTGACCCTCTATATAAATCCAACACTGACCGTCTATATAAATCCAACACTGACCCTCTATATAAATCCAACGCTGACCGTCTATATAAATCCAACACTGACCGTCTATATAAATCCAACACTGAACGTCTATATAAATCCAACACTGAACGTCTATATAAATCCAACACTGAACGTCTATATAAATCCAACGCTGACCGTCTATATAAATCCAACACTGACCGTCTATATAAATCCAACACTGAACGTCTATATAAATCCAACGCTGACCGTCTATATAAATCCAACACTGACCGTCTATATAAATCCAACACTGACCGTCTATATAAATCCAACACTGACCCTCTATATAAATCCAACGCTGACCCTCTATATAAATCCAACACTGAACGTCTATATAAATCCAACGCTGACCGTCTATATAAATCCAACACTGACCATCTATATAAATCCAACACTGACCGTCTATATAAATCCAACACTGACCGTCTATATAAATCCAACGCTGACCCTCTATATAAATCCAACACTGAACGTCTATATAAATCCAACACTGACCCTCTATATAAATCCAACGCTGAACGTCTATATAAATCCAACACTGACCGTCTATATAAATCCAACGCTGACCGTCTATATAAATCCAACACTGACCGTCTATATAAATCCAACACTGACCGTCTATATAAATCCAACACTGACCCTCTACATAAATCCAACGCCGACCCTCTATATAAATACACCCCAGTTTCACCACGCAGATTGCCACACACAACACAAACACATCCCCGACAAGAAGCGTTTCCTTGGACAATACACACAGACATGCATGTGCAGTACCGTGTAAATTATATGTAAGATTACTTGTTTTACACACAGCAAGGAGTTACTCTGTTTTCAGGTTGCAGTTCATTCAGCAGAACTCAATGTTTAGTGAAAAAGCCCCCTGGTGGTGGGCATTACATGGGACATTGAGTAAGGTATCGCATTACATGGGACAGTGAGTAAGGTAACATGTCCCTGGCGGTGGGCATTACATGGGACAATGAGTAAGGTATCATGTCCCTGGTGGTGGGCATTACATGGGACAATGAGTAAGGTATCATGTCCCTGGTGGTGGGCATTACATGGGACAGTGAGTAAGGTATCATGTCCCTGGCGGTGGGCATTACACGGGACAGTGAGTAAGGTATCATGTCCCTGGTGGTGGGCATTACATGGGACAATGAGTAAGGTAACATGTCCCTGGTGGTGGGCATTACATGGGACAGTGAGTAAGGTATCATGTCCCTGGCAGTGGGCATTACATGGGACAGTGAGTAAGGTATCATGTCCCTGGCGGTGGGCATTACATGGGACAGTGAGTAAGGTATCATGTCCCTGGTGGTGGGCATTACATGGGACAGTGAGTAAGGTATCATGTCCCTGGTGGTGTGCATTACATGGGACAGTGAGTAAGGTAACATGTCCCTGGCGGTGGGCATTACATGGGACAGTGAGTAAGGTATCATGTCCCTGGCGGTGGGCATTACATGGGACAGTGAGTAAGGTATCATGTCCCTGGCGGTGGGCATTACATGGGACAGTGAGGAAGGTATCATGTCCCTGGCGGTGGGCATTACATGGGACAGTGAGTAAGGTATCATGTCCCTGGTGGTGGGCATTACATGGGACAGTGAGTAAGGTATCATGTCCCTGGTGGTGGGCATTACATGGGACAATGAGTAAGGTATCATGTCCCTGGTGGTGGGCATTACATGGGACAATGAGTAAGGTATCATGTCCCTGGTGGTGTGCATTACATGGGACAGTGAGTAAGGTATCATGTCCCTGGTGGTGGGCATTACATGGGACAGTGAGTAAGGTATCATGTCCCTGGCGGTGGGCATTACATGGGACAATGAGTAAGGTAACATGTCCCTGGCGGTGGGCATTACACGGGACAGTGAGTAAGGTATCATGTCCCTGGCGGTGGGCATTACATGGGACAGTGAGTAAGGTAACATGTCCCTGATGGTGGGCATTACATGGGACAGTGAGGAAGGTATCATGTCCCTGGCAGTGGGCATTACATGGGACAGTGAGGAAGGTATCATGTCCCTGGCGGTGGGCATTACATGGGACAGTGAGTAAGGTATCATGTCTCTGGTGGTGGGCATTACATGGGACAGTGAGTAAGGTATCATGTCCCTGGCAGTGGGTATTACATGGGACAGTGAGTAAGGTAACATGTCCCCGGTGGTGGGCATTACACAGGTTAGTGAGGAAGGTATCATGTCCCTGAGGATGGGCATTACATGGGACAGTGAGTAAGGTATCATGTCCCTGGCAGTGGGCATTACATGGGACAGTGAGTAAGGTAACATGTCCCTGGTGGTGGGCATTACATGGGACAGTGAGTACGGTAACATTTCCCTGGTGGTGGGCATTACATGGGACAGTGAGTAAGGTAACATGTCCCTGATGGTGGGCATTACATGGGACAGTGAGGAAGGTATCATGTCCCTGGCAGTGGGCATTACATGGGACAGTGAGGAAGGTATCATGTCCCTGGCGGTGGGCATTACATGGGACAGTGAGTAAGGTATCATGTCTCTGGTGGTGGGCATTACATGGGACAGTGAGTAAGGTATCATGTCCCTGGCAGTGGGTATTACATGGGACAGTGAGTAAGGTAACATGTCCCCGGTGGTGGGCATTACACAGGTTAGTGAGGAAGGTATCATGTCCCTGAGGATGGGCATTACATGGGACAGTGAGTAAGGTATCATGTCCCTGGCAGTGGGCATTACATGGGACAGTGAGTAAGGTAACATGTCCCTGGTGGTGGGCATTACATGGGACAGTGAGTAAGGTAACATTTCCCTGGTGGTGGGCATTACATGGGACAGTGAGTAAGGTATCATGTCCCTGGCAGTGGGCATTACATGGGACAGTGAGTAAGGTAACATGTCCCTGGTGGTGGGCATTACATGGGACAGTGAGTAAGGTATCATGTCCCTGGTGGTGGGCATTACACAGGACAGTGAGGAAGGTATCATGTCCCTGGCAGTGGGCATTACATGGGACAGTGAGTAAGGTAACATGTCCCTGGTGGTGGGCATTACACAGGACAGTGAGGAAGGTATCATGTCCCTGGCGGTGGGCATTACATGGGACAGTGAGTAAGGTAACATGTCCCTGACGATGGGCATTACATGGGACGGTGAGTAAGGTATCATGTCCCTGGCAGTGGGCATTACATGGGACAGTGAGTAAGGTAACATTTCCCTGGTGGTGGGCATTACATGGGACAGTGAGTAAGGTATCATGTCCCTGACGATGGGCATTACATGGGACAGTGAGTAAGGTATCATGTCCCTGGCAGTGGGCATTACATGGGACAGTGAGTAAGGTAATATGTCCCCGGTGGGGGGCATTACATGGGACAGTGAGTACGGTATTATGTGCCTGGTGGTGGGCATTACAGTGTGTACGGTATTATGTGCCTGGTGGTGGGCATTACAGTGAGTACGGTATCATTGTAAGTAGTGTTAGTGTTTGCCATTAGATCCCACGGAGCAGCACAACATGCTGTTAAATTCACGGGTTCTATTTGAATCCTTTTTATCACTTGGATCATTAATTTCACCCCATTGTGTTTGTTCAGAAATGAAAACCAATGAAAATACGTGTATTCATTTTACTGCTAATAAAAGGAAATGTGCCAAAAAGCCTCTCTCTGTAACCAAGCACCTAATAAAACAGAAATGAATAGTATAAATATATTTTAATAGGATAATAGATCTGGGTTTCTCTCGCTGGGTATGTATCCGCTGAGTTAATCTTTGCTCACCAGATGGTTTAGTTACTATAATGTGTTTGGGGAAATGTTAAAATCCCTGTAGTTTTATAGTTAATGAAATTACATTTTGGGGAAATAATGGTAGAATTAACACATTAAGTGCCAAGCTAATTTTGGCTAAAAAATTATTGTAGCCTAACATTTATTGGAAGCATTGTATGTGCTACTAGTGCCTAAACCTAGCATGAAACAGCATTGTGGGTTCAAGTATACCTCCCATGTGTCTGTTCTTAGTAAGGGCAGGATAAGAAAAGTCTGAAATCCCTCTGTCCCTCTTTTCTAGGAGTTCCATATTGTTGGTGTCCCTGCATGTATAACTGAGCTCCACAGCAATAATGCTCCCAGTAATGTGTCTGAGTGTATAACAGAGCTCCATAGCAATAATACTCCCAGTAATGTGTCTGAGTGTATAACAGCTCCACAGCAATAATACTCCCAGTAATGTGTCTGAGCGTATAACTGAGCTCCACAGCAATAATGCTCCCAGTAATGTGTCTGAGTGTATAACAGAGCTCCACAGCAATAATACTCCCAGTAATGTGTCTGAGTGTATAACAGAGCTCCACAGCAGAGCCAGTAATGTGTCTGAGTGTATAACAGAGCTCCACAGCAATAATACTCCCAGTAATGTGTCTGAGTGTATAACAGAGCTCCACAGCAATAATACTCCAGTAATGTGTCTGAGTGTATAACAGAGCTCCACAGCAATAATACTCCCAGTAATGTGTCTGAGTGTATAACAGAGCTCCACAGCAATAATACTCCCAGTAATGTGACTGAGTGTATAACAGAGCTCCACAGTAATAATACTCCCAGTAATGTGTCTGAGTGTATAACAGAGCTCCACAGCAATAATACTTCCAGTAATGTGTCTGAGTGTATAACAGAGCTCCACAGCAATAATACTCCCAGTAATGTGTCTGAGAGTATAACAGAGCTCCACAACAATAATACTCCCAGTAATGTGTCTGAGTGTATAACAGAGCTCCACAGCAATAATACTCCCAGTAATGTGTCTGAGTGTATCACAGAGCTCCACAGCAATATTACTCTCAGTAATGTGTCTGAGTGTATGACAGAGCCCCAAAGAAATAATACTCCCAGTAATGTGTCTGAGTGTATAACAGAGCCCCACAGCAATAATACTCCCAGTAATGTGTCTGAGTGTATAACAGAGCTCCACAGCAATAATACTCCCAGTAATGTGTCTGAGTGTATAACAGAGCTCCACAGCAATAATACTCCCAGTAATGTGTCTGAGTGTATAACAGAGCTCCACAGCAATAATACTCCCAGTAATGTGTCTGAGTGTATAACAGAGCTCCACAGCAATAATACTCCCAGTAATGTGTCTGAGTGTATAACAGAGCTCCACAGCAATAATACTCCCAGTAATGTGTCTGAGTGTATAACAGAGCTCCACAGCAATAATACTCCCAGTAATTTGTCTGAGTGTATAACAAAGCTCCACAGTAATAATACTCCCAATAACTAAAATAAATGTGTTTAGAAATCAGTCTGTGTAAATAAGCTACATTGTTCTTATTCTAAATTACATTTTAGTTCATTAAATTGTTATTAGCAAGTCATAACAGCCCCACTCCTGGCCACACTCTTACTCACATGCAAAACAGTCCTGCCCCTGGACACACCCCCACTCACAACAGCCCCACCGCTACGTACACCCCTAAAATTAAAGCTTCCCTCTTTGTCCATGTGAAGTGTTGGAAAATAGGGATTTACCAAAAACATAAATTAAATTTATACAATTCAGATTTTTAATATATTATTTGATCAATAACAGTAAAATTAGGGGTCATTAAAAGTTTAAATAAATAAAAAAGTTTAAGTTTAAATTGTTTTAGATTAAAGCGATTTAGCGGTTTAATGGTATCTCTACAATATAGATAACAATCATCCAAAACTGAATAAAAATGGCGCAAACATAATTTGTAAAGTACCAGTAACAACACCCTAAAACCGTGTAACTTTAAAACACACGCAGTAACCTATAATGAACACGGATTTAAAAATCCCCCCAAAACGATTCACTATAGAACAGTGTTATTTGTTCACAAGTAGGAAGATTGTTTCCTTTTTGGATGGAAACATTTGGTCACTTATATATATTGATTTTTCATTCACATTCACATGGTTTTATTAATGTTTTACGCACCTATAAATTAGATTTGTCTACAATGTATATACCCATAATATGGGTATTTGGGATGCAAAACAAACATTCACTGTGTACACATGAGGTTAATCCTGGACCCCATTGACTGTACATAAACAGATCCAGTCCTGTTTTCCATCCTATATCGGTGCCGGGTACAGGCAAATATCAGGCCACCACATGTAAGCAAGAACCTGCCTCGAACCCTTCCTGATTTCGGAGGGACAGTCTAGATTTTCAGGTCCTGAGACACCAGGGAATTGTTCCCAAAAAGTGTAACATCATTAGACGCACTCCCTGCAGAGAGCTCAGAAACAACGTTCCCTGCAAGTCCTACCCTGCTTGTATTACTGAAATTATTAAAGATAAAAATGTATATCCGGATAACGGACACCATCCCTCCTTTATTTGGGAATTAGAGCTTAACCCAAGTAAAGTCATTTGATCAGTAGACAGGCTAGAGTGCGTTCACACCACGCAGATCTGCCAGTAATTCAGATGGACCTATCCCATTTCCGGATAGTCGCCGTTTTGGGTGGAGTTAGTAACTCAATCGTGGGATGCCAATGTTGTGTAACAAGTGCCTGGGTAAGGTTAGTGGGAGTTGCAGTCTACAAACAGTAGGGAGCTGGGTATATAATGACCAGTACAACTTTAAAGGGTTAGTCTACGCTCCATGACCACTTCAGTGATTTGATGTGGTTATGGTGCTTAGAGTCTGTCTGTGCCATGTTTTCGCTATGAAATGCTGCACGTATAGAAATTAACCTCTATGTTCCATAAAATAAACTGTACGATGTAAGCTGTAAAAAAATCAAAAAATTTTCAAATATAATATTGTCTAATTTGACAAAATAATTTTTGGGAATATAGCAAATTCAAGTTCTCATTATTAGTGTTACTAATTAAAATGCCCTCTAGAAAGGCCCAAGCAGGGCATTGCATGCAAATGATGCTTCTCTCCTCTCTAGTAAAAATGGTTTTATTTAATGAATTAGGACCATATGGCTTTCTAATTAAACATGGAGCACACGTAACCCAGTTTAGTTGACGATGGTAAGTGGGTTTTATATATACACATCTGCTTTTAAATTGTATAAAACATTTCTATAAATAGTGTTTACTGGCAATAACACTGTATAAAGCATGAAAACCAGAACTATGACAGGTCCCTTTAATGGTGGATAATTGCAACCAATTCAATTTATTCACAGAAACGTGTTCTTCTGTCTGAGTTAGTGTGACTTTGTAACGAGATGAACACCTCTATAACTAGCTGCACCTCAGATGGAAAGATGGCCTTTGTTTGCCGCGTGATATACTGCCATTATCATTCACGATGTTTAAATCCTGCGTTTCTCCATAAAGAACTGAATACATTATCCCACGGTAAAAGTGAATACAAATGCTAATTGCTTGAGAGAAGAATTTATTAATGCAGCCAAAGTCACCCCAATGTTCTCATACCTGGTGAAGCCTCAATTGCGTCTGACAGGACTATTTAAACATAATGATACATCTGTCACAGTGTGTGCGAGCTGTGCGGGAACTGACAGCTTCACATCCAGGCAGCGGCCGGGTGAGGGGGCGGCGGGAGAAATGGCGCAATGCAGCCATAGATCTCAGGGAATCAAACAAAAGAGAGGTTGTAACCAACGGGGGATCAGGAATGGACAGCAAGGGAGGGAAAGTCCTAAGCTAGACAACACAGGTTTAAGGTCTTTTATTGGCTAGACCTATCCTTGCCATATTTAAACCACGTTCACAAAACCTACTTTTACCACTGCACAGCCGAATGTGGCCTCCATCCCTCCTTGCCTCTCTTACTCCCCCATTTCTCTCCGTGTCTCCCATTATTTGTATCTCTCTTCCTGTCTACCACTGCACTGTGGTCAGCTGACACACTCAACCAATTACCACAGCCCAATGATGCACAGGTAACCTGTCCCGACCTTGGCTAAACCTTCCATTATAGACCCATCCTGACCTCGGCTAAAGCTTCCATTATAAACCCGTCCTGACCTCGGCTAAAGCTTCCATTATAAACCCGTCCTGACCTTGGTTAAACCTTCCATTATAAACCCGTCCTGACCTTGGTTAAACCTTCCATTATAAACCCGTCCTGAACTCGGTTAAACCTTCCATTATAAACCCATCCTGACCTCGGTTAAACCTTCCATTATAAACCCATCCTGACCTCGGTTAAACCTTCCATTATAAACCCATCCTGACCTCAGTTAAACCTTCCATTATAAACCCGTCCTGAACTCGGTTAAACCTTCCATTATAAACCCGTCCTGAACTCGGTTAAACCTTCCATTATAAACCCGTCCTGACCTTGGTTAAACCTTCCATTATAAACCCGTCCTGAACTCGGTTAAACCTTCCATTATAAACCCATCCTGACCTCGGTTAAACCTTCCATTATAAACCCGTCCTGACCTTGGTTAAACCTTCCATTATAAACCCGTCATGACCTCGGTTAAGCCTTCCATTATAGACCCATCCTGACCTTGGCTAAAGCTTCCATTTTAAACCCATCCCGACCTCGGTTAAAGCAATGTTCAGTAAAGATTTATTGACACAATACAGTATACAAACAAAAGTTAGAAAAGTACAGAAAAGAATTGACTACAGGATTTAGAGGTCACATAACACTATGCAATGAAAAAAAAAAAAAATCGACTTATACAGATAGACTAAACCCCTCATCTTCAGAGTTGTATAAACAACAGGTCCTACAGTGGTAGCTAGGGCCAAATAAAAAACACCCTTACGTGTAACAATACAAATAGCCCGGATTTGGTGGAGTATCAGTGCTGCCCAATATATGTGGAACGTCCGCAACTTTGCCAGGTTCCCAAGACTGTCGAAAAGGGAGCAGACCCTCTCTTTTTTTTTATTACAAAGCTTGGCCTTATAGTAAAGTGTTTATTTTTTCTATTAAACAAAACAAAAACAAGAAAAAAAATTCAATTTATTAAACACCAACTTGAAATTAACAGGATTTCAAAATTACCCACAAAGGGGCTCCAGCGAGTTACGAAGCAGCATTTAGTCGGGCGATAAGGTAGGTACGGGTAACATCCATCTCACACAGCCGGTTTATCAGATGTGTGTCAATAGGTATTAATGTAATTCCCATCGCTTTTCCTTCTCTTATTGATTGAGGCGTCTGATTCCTGTAATTTCATTCTGTATTTGACATCTGAAGCTTTGGTCTTATTGATATCACAAAGATTTAGAGAAAGGAAAAGGTCTGCACTGAATTGATTAACTATAATCTATCAATCAGTGCAAGACTTTATTCACAGGGCATGTCTAAAAAATTAGACAACTATTCTCTTATTACTGGGGCTAATGATTGTTGGGTATTAATCAAAATCACCTTTGTTCAGTTTATAAAACGTGCTCTATCGCTACGTCACAGAATCTTCATCACGGAATCGGACCCCTGGTTCTTGTGGCCGGAAAGTGTAGTAACACTATGGCTAATTCCATGCTCGTCAGTGGAACAGCTGGACAGAAATGTAATTATTGTACGTTCTCTCTTGAAGGTGCTCTGAGCTAAAATAAGGCAAAGCATCCCATGCTGCGGCCACCAATCGGATTATTACATTTTCGATATATATAGATTGGATGGAAGGCGGCAGAAGGTTAGATATTGAGCCTTCAGGATGGGAAATAATCTTACTTTGTATAATCTATTCGCAAACATCGCACATACTGTACAATATTCCAACTCCACCACCCAACGCGATCGTCAGCTGAAACGTAATGAATGTAATGTCTGTATATTGCTTTCGGCAAAGCACGCTGAAAATATATGTAAAACCGATTTAAATTGTTTAAGCAGTTTCCTGATTTAACCACATTGCCTGCTGTCCATTCTTATAAGCATTTTATTTTTAAATGTCAGTCACATTATTATTCATCTTGGACGGTATTACTGCTGCAGAGTCCAGATCCCGCTGGAAATCGCTGAGGGAGGGGCCGTGTCAGGATCATTTCTATTAATTGGAGACTGTCCTCCATTGCTTCCTTGTTTTACTTTGTGTGTGGATTCTTAAAAAAAAAAAAAAAAAAAATCCATACATTTTCTTTTACTTTAAAATATAGTGCAGGTTGGTTAGTTTTATTCTCCCCCCCCGAAAAGGCATAAAGGTCCATTTTATTGGTTGTGGTGTTTGTAATGTTCCTTTATAAGGAATTAAGTATGGTCTCTCTATACTGACTGCCAGGTGTAAAGGGCGGAGCTTATAACAATGACTGACAGGGAGCTAAGATGGAGGTGGCTCTCTCTATACTGACTGCCAGGTGTAAAGGGTGGAGCTTATAACAATGATTGACAGGGAGCTAAGATGGAGGTGGCTCTCTCTATACTGACTGCCAGGTGTAAAGGGTGGAGCTTATAACAATGATTGACAGGGAGCTAAGATGGAGGTGGCTCTCTCTATACTGACTGCCAGGTGTAAAGGGCGGAGCTTATAACAATGATTGACAGGGAGCTAAGATGGAGGCGGCTCTCTCTATACTGACTGCCAGGTGTAAAGGGCGGAGCTTATAACAATGATTGACAGGGAGCTAAGATGGAGGTGGCTCTCTCTATACTGACTGCCAGGTGTAAAGGGCGGAGCTTATAACAATGATTGACAGGGAGCTAAGATGGAGGTGGCTCTCTCTATACTGACTGCCAGGTGTAAAGGGCGGAGCTTATAACAATGATTGACAGGGAGCTAAGATGGAGGCGGCTCTCTCTATACTGACTGCCAGGTGTAAAGGGCGGAGCTTATAACAATGATTGACAGGGAGCTAAGATGGAGGCGGCTCTCTCTATACTGACTGCCAGGTGTAAAGGGCGGAGCTTATAACAATGATTGACAGGGAGCTAAGATGGAGGTGGCTCTCTCTATACTGACTGCCAGGTGTAAAGGGCGGAGCTTATAACAATGATTGACAGGGAGCTAAGATGGAGGTGGCTCTCTCTATACTGACTGCCAGGTGTAAAGGGCGGAGCTTATAACAATGATTGACAGGGAGCTAAGATGGAGGTGGCTCTCTCTATACTGACTGCCAGGTGTAAAGGGCGGAGCTTATAACAATGATTGACAGGGAGCGAAGATGGAGGCGGCTCTCTCTATACCGACTGCCAGGTGTAAAGGGCGGAGCTTATAACAATGACTGACAGGGAGCTAAGATGGAGGTGCCCAGTTACAGGATAAAGCGGTGTGGAGTTTATTAACGACACAGAAGCTCCGATTATGCTAGTCTCTTTGCTTTATTCCTCAGCAGCAAAGAAAACCAAAACAAGAAAACCATATGAAAGAGTGTAAAAAAAAAAAGCCTCAAACTAAGAATACAATTCTTATAACAGGGCATGTGCTGTTAAAGGACCACTCTAGGCACCCAGACCACTTCAGCTTAATGAAGTGGTCTGGGTGCCTGGTCCTTCTAGGGTTAACCCATTTTTTCATAATTATAGCAGTTTCAGAGAAACTGCTATAATTATGAATGGGTTAAGCCTTCCCCCTAATCCTCTAGTGGCTGTCTCATTGACAGCCACTAGAGGCGCTTGCGTGCTTCTCACTGTGAAAATCACAGTGAGAGCGCGCCAGCGTCCATAGGAAAGCATTGTAAATGCTTTCCTATGAGACCGGCTGAATGCGCGCGCAGCTCTTGCCGCGCGTGCGCATTCAGCCGGCGGGGCGTAACGGAGGCGGAGAGCTCTCCGCCCAGCGCTGGAAAAAGGTAAGTTTTTACCCCTTTCCCCCCTCCAGAGCCGGGCGGGAGGGGGTCCCTGAGGGTGGGGGCACCCTCAGGGAACTATAGTGCCAGGAAAACAAGTATGTTTTCCTGGCACTATAGTGGTCCTTTAATGACAGCCCACTCCCAGTAACCCCTTTTTTTTACTGCTCCATCAGACCATCGAGTATCTCTGTTCTCATTAACCAATTACTTAACATTTGGGGATTTCGCTTTAGCCTGTTATACTCTACTTGCAGGCAGTGGGACAGTGTTTATTATAATGCGTGATTTTTTAATTCTCTCGACGAAGGCCGCAGTCCTGGGGCTGCTTGTTTGCCTCTGAGCCACCATTCAGCTCAAGAAATAGCCAGAAGTCTATCTTGCCTTGTATCCAGCTCTGAGGGCTGGACGTTACTCTATGGCTGCTCCATCATTCTCAAGCCCACCTGAAGCTGATGGCTTCATTAGCCAGGTATAAGACACTGGCTCTCCCAGGTTCGGTATTGCTGTTTGTGTTCCAGTGTGCTCCTGTTGATTCCTGACCTTGGCTTGTTACTCCGTATATCCTGACTTCTGGCATCCTCTGTCCTCATTAATCCTGATTTCTGACATCCTTTGACTTTTGGCTTTCCACAATGATTCTCCTGCTTTATTCGTTCCTGTACTGTGACTTGGAGAATTATCCTGCACCGACTCACAGGCCAGGTGAATTCTTACCTGACCTCCTCGGCCTGTGTTGACTTGCAAGGGTGAGCATATATCTCTGCCTGCTGGACTCCCAGCTCAGGTAAGCCCTGACACTACAGAGGGCAAGCCACCAGCAGAGCTGCCTTCACAGGCTACAGGCCTTGTCCCACAGACTATTGGAATTCAGGAAACCACCCGACCTTACCACTAACCATTAGAGGATCCATCCGGGGACGTGGATCTGCCTCGCTCCGCGGATGCACTGCTCCAGGTAATAAACCTTCCTTTTTTCAATGTACCTATTGCAGGCCGATTAGCCCATTTTTTTACAACAGTGGGAACGACTTCCTCAGGATCAATGGATCCTTCACACAATCAAGGGTTTCAAAATAGACTCTCACCCCACCCTTTCAGGAGACACCTCCAACCCCTATATGGATGTCTGTAACAGACGATTTAGCATTACAAACAAGCGTTGGGCAACCTCAGGGAGAAAGGGATGATTGAACCATTGCTTTTCCCATGTACTTTCTTCAGCAACCTCTTCTTAGTCCGCAAAAAGACCTTATCAGTCTGAGGAATCTGAATCAACACATCAGATATTGCCATTTCAAGATGGAGGGCATCTATCTTCTCAGGGACCTCCTTTGCGTGGAAGATTGGTTTTCCAGATTCGATCTCAAAGATGCTTACCTTATAGTACCTGTCGCCCGCAATCAATGGGCTTTCCTTCTATTCCTATGGCAAGGAGAAATTTGGTAGTTCACATGCCTGCCTTTCGGCCTTTGCTCAGGACCATGGTGTTTCAGGAAATGGATGAAATCAGTCATGGCGTTAGTCCGTTCTTAGGAGATCCGTTCCATTATATATTTGGATGACATATTGATTATGGCTCAAGACCCACACCGTCTCCGTCAACAGACGAACATGACAATGCCCTTGTGGCAAAATTTGGGCTTTGTTATAAAAATTTCAAGAAATCAGATCTGTTCCTCAGATTTCAAATAAATTCCATACAGGCGATCTTACAATTACCTTCTGCAAAAATCAAATCCATATTAAAAAAAAAAAAAAAAAAAATTGATTCGCCTTCGCGATCTGGCTCATATCATAGGTCTCCTTTCTGCCTCTATTCAGGCTATATACCCGGTAGAGATCGACTGATTTTTTTTAGAGCAGATGCCGATAATCTGTCAACTTTAAGGCCGATAACTTACCGATACTCTGTACAATTACAGTTTTAAAAAAAACAAAAAACTATTTCTACACAAATCTACTGTTAACTGAACATTTTTATTTGCAATTTTTTTTTTATTAAGGTAAATGCACAAAATATACATGCCAGTCAGAATGTTTTATGTTTTCAAGAATATATGTGTGTATAGTGGATGCAGTGAGAGTATTTGATTAGTGAATGCAGTGTGTATGTTTGTGTAGTGTATGTATAGTGGACGCAATGTGTGTGTTTGTGTAATGTGTATATAGTGAATGCAGAGTGTGTGTGTAGTGTATGTTTGTGTAATGTGTATATAATGAATGCAGTGTGTGTAGTGAATGCAGTGTGTGTAGAGTGGGTATATAATGAATGCCGTGTGTGTGTGTAGCGTGTAAAATGGGGGAAAGGGGCATTTAAAAATTTTTTATAAATATTTAATTTAAAAAAATTTATGTTTTAGTTCCCCCTCCCTGTGTCTTACCTGGCCAGGGAGGGGGGAGTACAGCATTCCCTGGTGGTCCGGTGGCATGGACTGTGCACAGGGAGGGCTCAGCACACTCTTACTTACCTTCCCAGCAGCTCCCCTGTGTAACTCACGTGGAGTGTTGCCACGTTAACCTGTGGCAATGCTCTGATGGCTGCGGGACTCGCGAGAGTTAGACAGGGGAGGTATCATCAGTACCCTGATCTGCATTACCGGCAATATCGGTATCATTATTGGCAGATACCGATAAATCGGTCGATCCCTAATACCTGGGACCTTTACATTATCGAGCTATGCAGCGGTTAAAAACATTTTATCTCCACCGGTCCACTTCCTACGACCAGTTGATTTGCCTTATGGACAAAGTCCATATAGAACTTCACTGGTGGCTTCACAACATAGAAGCCTGGAATAGCAAAGCCATTTTCGGTTCGCAGCCAGACTTCATTCTGGAATCTGATGCCAGCTTGCTGGGATGGAGTGCAACGTGCTTAGAGAGGGCCACTGGAGGAAAATGGTCTCCGACGGAACAGGCCCTACAAATCAACTGTCTCAAACTGATCGCAAAATCCTTTGCAATACGCAGTTTTATAAAAGATTTCTTCAATTGCTCCTTAGTATTACGCATGGACAATGTTTCCGCAGTGCGTTATGTGAATCGATTGGGAGGATCCCGATCCAAACTACTGTCTGATCTTACGAAAGATCTCTACCACTTTTGCCTAGAGAGAAATCTGTCCACCTGGCGGATTATCTTCCAAGCCCCGACAACCTAGTTGCTGACTGGTTCTCCCAACATTGGAGGGACGTCAGCGACTGGCAATTGGACCCACTATTGTTTAATCACATTTATTTCCTTCGAGGTCCTCTCACGCTGGACCTTTTCGAGTCTCGGTTGAACCGCCAGACGGAGGCATACTTCAGCTGGCTTCCAAACCCCCAATCTCTAGCAGCCGATGAATTGTTACACCCTTGGCGAAAGACAGGAGCTTATGCATTACCGCCCTTTTCCATGATCCAACGTACCCTTTATCAGGTCAAAGCTCTAGTAGTCACGAGTCACTGTAACTTCCTTATGGAGAGCCTAAACTTGGTTCCCTACTCTTCTGCAACTATCAGTGAATTACCCACTTCTTTTGCCCAAACATCCTCAGGCACCCAGCAGCGGACTGTCATCCACTTGCTCTTCAAGAACGTCTCCAGCTTGCAGCTTGGACCGTTTCAGTGGATCTTGGAATGTCTCAGGACTTTGAGACAGCTCAAGCTCTACTATGGGATTCACTAGACGTGCCTGTATCTCTGCATGGCAGACATGGATCCCTTTTCAGCACCTCTTACAACCATTCTAAACTTCCTATCTACCCTCTTTGATCAGGGCAAATCCTATAGATCGATTAATGTTTCATTCTGCTATCTCTGCAGCTCATAATTCCATTGATAACTGTGGCGAAACCAACCTCGCCACTGTGAACTGGAGAAGCCTGGTTGCTCGCCTGCTCCCTTTGGACTATGGCCCTGCAGGTTAAACCGTTTCCCCTGCAGAAAGGCTTATTTGTGTGATCTGAGTGCCATTCATCTAATAATGTGCACTCAGATCCCAGCTATCTGGGGATATGTGAAATGTCTGTGTGTTATGTGTAAAATGTGACTTTATGTATTTTAAAGTGTTTTGTGTCTTTTTGCAACCATGTGCTTAATGGAGTCTTGTGTCTATCCTGGGAGATAATTGAATTACTCTCCAGGATAGAAGACTCTGAAACTGGTTTGGGCCAGAAAGCCATGCTTCATTTAGTCACAAAGGACTTTCCCTTAACTTTTGAACCCCTGGTCTGATTCGTGCCATTTTTTAATATGTTGTTCCCCTGAATGGATTGATTATGAAAATGTATGTTTTATGTTTGTGACATGTATATTTTAGAAGTTATAAATATTGTGTAAAAACTGTATTCCTCTGCCGGTGATAATGAGATTACCCATTGTGTTCAGTAATCATATCACCTGCAGAGGGGAGGATTTTGTGTGGGAGTGTCTGGGTGTATTGTACGGATTGATTGGTTGTTTTGTAACGCCCTGTGGGCTGTACTATGTTTGTGGATTGGGAATAAAAGAGACTGTATGTGACAGTACAGGGAGTTCCTGTTTTAACCCTCAAAGTGAAGTGTCGTCTCATTATTGGGGAAGGATTTATTGTATGCTGTTCCAGTTTGACTGCTAGGAGAGTAAACCTATTCGTATGGTTCCTATTCAACTGTCTACAGCATTCACATGCTTGAGAGCATTCATATGCTCCTACGGTTCGGTGGTTTTGGTGTCTGCTGCAGTGCTTGGAGTCCTCAGGAAGCGCTAGGAGCATCCTTCAACGGAGGTACCCAGTCAGGGTGCCAGGCGATCCGTTACAATAACGTTTCAATAGGGAAACAGCCCTCCATTTGTAGACTTATACAGGGCATTCGCTTGGCCAGACCTCCTAACCCCAGATACTCTAATTTCTGGGATGTTTCCCAGGTTTTTTTTCCTTCTTGGAATCTTGGCCTTTACTTTTCGAGCAGACCCTCCCTCTGCATGACGCGTTGTGTTCGATATTATATGGATACCACGGTTACGCTGCATTCCCCCTTAGGACCTCTCCTGGTCTCTTATGTCAGACTGCACAAACCGATCTCCTCCCCCACATTTGCATGGTGGATCAGATGGCTTGTTATCCTGGCTGGGATTGACCCATCCTTTGGAGCACACTCAGTCAGGGGAGCGGCCGCATCCTCTGCCTTTCGAGTAGTCAGTTCCCTTTCTGACATCCTATCCGTTTCGTACCTTCTATTTCAAACCTAGGCCACATGCTGCTTCCTCTATCATACAGGAGCGGTAAAACAGCAAATATGATGCCTCCTGTCTTGCCATAAATCAGGGATTATTCTAGCTTTAGTGAAGAAATAATCTAAATGTTATTAACGAACGGAGGCGAATATTTTCCCTCCCTTTAAATCTCCTATTCCCACCCTTTGAGGGAAGTTATTAAATAGTTGGGTACATATCCGTTCCAGCTTAGTTTTATGCACCATATGCCATAGGCAACACAATCTGGTAATCATATTGAAGAATTATTATATTCTCACCATACTTACTATTGATGGTATGTTAATGATTAAGGTTAACCATAGGTAATTAATAGACTTGATTTTCTCTGGTAAGAGAATCTATACTTTCACGTAATTCTCTCTCCTTTCTTCTAGTGTGAAGATTTTCTACGGTCGTGAGCCTACAGCTCAACAGTTCTCGGTTTACAGGGTTGACCAACAACAGGACCTTCTGTTTGGTCCATTGCAAATGAAGTTATTCTGTTTACATGACTGATCTATGCTAGTCTCGGCTACAGCAAGAAAGAGGAGTTTGGAGGAGCTTGATGACATTCTATAATATTGTTGTACACTCTGATAGGTTGAATTTTTTTTACATTGTTGTTAACAGTTTCTTTGCTGTTAAGTTAAGAAAGATTAAGCAACTATTCGCCTCCTGTCGCTAATAAAATTTAGATTATTCCTTCACTCAAGCTAAAATAATTCCTAATTATTTGCAGAAGCCATTTACTGCATTCCATTGATGACAATAGCGGGAGTGTGACTATAAAGGCCAATTTGTGTTACTCTATTTAAGAACATATAGTTGAGTTTGTAAAATCCCTTCAACGGGCAGTAATAAAACTTAGTAAGGGTCTTCAACAAAACAGGATAAAGTAAAAATGTGACAAAATAATATGGTTTGTATGTCAGCTTCTATACTGAAATGTGTGGAATTAAAAATGAATAAGCCACTAATTACCAAGTAAATCAGAATTCTTCTACATTTACAAACGTATAGGGCAACAGGAAATAGAAATATGAAATATTCAGCGTTTCTTCTTTAAAATTAAGGCTCATAGTAAGAACAAAAGCAAAAAAGTGACCTGTGCACTATACCAAATTCCTATACACTTTTTAACCCTTGGAGGGTGGTAGCACAGTAACAAGGCTGTTAAATTCCGATGCAATTACACAAAATTAAAACCTGCTCTCAAACTCCCACTGATCCTGGGCGGCAGCAATGACTACACAATACGCCTGCACACTATCCTTAATCCCTGTGAACATTTCAAGAACAGGAGGTTTTAAGTACAACACCAATGGCCATTAAAGTGTAAGCTCACCTGCCCAGTCCAGGCAAACCTTTTTAGGGCACCTACAATAATTTTACTTTGCTGCTTTCAGTTAAAAGGTAAAATCTCTTAATTGTAGACTTGTATATGGTAAAAAAATAAAATGGCACAAATTGCATCTATATAAATAAAAATATCAAACTATCCATATAATTTGCAGGATACTGATAAAATGAATCAATACGTTTGTTCTTACTGCTCCTCCTTTTGTCTGTCTGTCTCTCTCATATATTATATACACACACACACACACACACTTTTTAACGGTTTCTCCTTTTTCCCCTCTATTGGTCACCTCTCAACTAATCGGTGGATAAAATCAACATTTAGTGGCTGTATCCTACCCATCAATCTTTTTTTCACAAATCACTTATTTTCTTTGGTGCCACGAAAAGAACTGTAAATCATGAAACAGTTTGTCCATTTCCGCTTTAGTTTGTTTTATGAGCCAGCCATGTAGCGTTTTGGAGTTACAGAATTTGGATGAATCATTGATTGCCAAAAATTCTGACAAATTATAATTATTCTGAAACTGAAGTCTGGCAATGAGACAGAAAGGAGTATTCCTATGAACCCCTACAAATTTGTTCACCCAGTGCGTTTTCTATTACATTGACAGCAACAATGTAACATAGCGGTGTAATACAGAAACAAATACAAACACACCAATGCGCAGAGTGTGTACAAATCCACAGACTAATCTGTTCATATGTTCTGTTTATACGCTATATAAATCCATAGATAGAAACAAGGTGGCAGCAAAGGGGTTAAACTCTGGATGTGCTGCGTTTTCATAGTGAAATGTTGCACATACAGACTCCAGCCACCAGGACCACTTCAAATTACTGAAATGATCACGGTAATTGGAATAAGAAGCTAAACTTGTAAAATTCTCCAAATCACATGTGCTTCCAGTTTTACTTCTGATACTTTAATAATTCTCATATTACTCAGGGACCCTGAGAGACTTATAGAAAAGTGAAAACCATGGTTGTGATCATTTAGTAAATAAGAAAAACAGTTTTAGGTTAAAAAAAAATAAGCTTTAATGGCAGAACTGGTAATTGCCGGTTCCCTTACAAAACATGCAGGTTGCTATGGCATTTATATGTTCCAAAAAAACGATTATAGGCGTGAATTTGCGTTCAAGATACACAAAGTGTAGCGGCATTAAAGGAACAGTAAATATGCTCCAGAAGGCACACTGGCTGTGAGTTCTAATAATTGGTTAAACAAATATAAATACACGGAAATTAGATTTCTAATCCATGGCATGTGTATCCAGGACTAGAGGAGAAAGGCACCTCTTCATGGATTTAATTAAGGACTTTCTGGCAAGATGTGTTTTTTGATTAAGATCTACTCATTGGTGATGCACGGTTTCAGAGTTTCTAGGTGCCTGTAATGCAGATTTAATGGGTAGACATGGGACATGGGCATTCCTTATGACAAAGTGACCCAAATGATCTTCACCAACATGAGGCTTCCAATCCGGCTCCTGAAATCAGACCCTTCCCATCTGTGGCCCTAAAACAATATCCTTTTACTGAGCTATAACCGCCTTAGATATAAGTTCTTAATCAGGAGGGAAGGACAATTCCTATTTTAATTATAAAAGATTCTTAACTAGGCACCTGTATGATTATCCCATTCTTTTAGTCACTGCAAAAGCTTGGTATATTGCAAATTGTGTATAAATAAGTACGTTTTGGTATTCAGCATTTTGTAGCATTGCCTTAGAAGGTGTAAGAAAGGTCCCTTTGGAGGGCACTGCTTGGTGGGCCAGTGGTTACTAGTAATGGCTGAATGAATGAAACTGCCTTCATCATGCAAACGCTGCTGTTTTCAGCGCAGTAATAAAGGCACGCATTGATTTGGAGCACAGCGTTTGTTAATGCACAATCCGTGGGGGTCACCAACTCAATCTGAACAGGCTTTGTCAAATCTCCAATCTCACCATAGGCCTTCTGTCCCTCAAGGAGCCATTCATGTCCTGACAAGACAAGAATAGTAAGAAGACAATATTAATAACACTGAACAAATAAATGGTGCAAGCATCGGGAGTATTACTGCAATATTAACAGAAATCAGGGACAGGAAACATCCTATGCGATGGATCCTATGGGGAGACACGGGTAACACAAGCTGGTCTTTAGTAATATTATATGTGTACCAAAGAAGTTGTTTAATTTTGGTATGGGGGAGAATCAAGGTCCATATCTTAATATAACATTAAAATAATACTAAACAACGCTGCTATGATTATTGAAGAAGAAGAACTGCACCTTCTGCAGAAAGAAACCAGAAACTCGGAGCCCCTTCTGTTAACTTTGACTCTGCTGGAAGCTTGAGGGTTAATAAATATTGAAGGGCTTCATTGGGCTTCACACTTATGGGGGCAAGATTAATTTTAGGAGCCGATTTGGGCAATTTTGGTAAGTTAAATTTCTCTGGCAGCCTACTGTCCACGACATCTGGTCCTTCACTTGTCAGAATGTGCAGCTAGAGGGGAGTAAAAATAGGCATCAGTTACAACACAGCTCAGACATGCGCAGAGAACAATCCATGGGAATAATTACCAATATACAGAAAATAGTCCTGCTTTAAAGAACAGGTGAATTCAGGAATACCCTTCATAATTAGAGCAATTAGTTTACAGATTTGCACTGTTTGTGATAGAGATATTAAGATACTAGGACGATGGAAATCTACGGCATACACCAGATACATCCCTCAGCCCATACAAGAAGTACGCCTGGCTTTCAAAACTATGAATATGTAATCTGTTATGTCCGGTTGTAGGACGAATAAATGGTTCTCTCTTTTTGCCCTCTTTTATTTCAGGCCTACTTCCTCGTCAGTTCCGGCACACCACAACTGACATTTCCTTTCATGGTTTGTCCTATATATATAAGTTATACTACGGCTTATGCCATGACAACAAATATATATATATATATATCACACATATACAAAAGAAAATATAGGAGCATTCTCTGTTGAGTAAATCAACGTTTTGACTCTCCTGGTTCTTTAAAAAAAAAAAAAAAAAAATGTTTATTATTTTTTTTTAATTCAGAAAGTATATTTTCTTCTGTTTATATTGGCAATGGAACACGAACACACGAACACACGAACACACACTCCCCTCTCCGCATTTAGAAAGAAAAAGAAAAAATTTCATACACAAAACAACCAGTACAAATCTGTAAATTAATTTATCTAATTATAAAGAATAACTTCGAATTCCTCTCCCATCAACATTTTAGAAATCTGTGTGTTATGTCTTAAGAGATACATTTCAAAGTAGATTGAAGTTTGTATCACCGGACCATAAAATGCACAATTTTTTTTACAATATAAAGAAAACACACAGGTCTTAAAAGAAAAGTTCAAATTTTGCATTCAAGTAAATAAAAAAATGAAATTCTCAGAAGGAAAAGAAAATGACAAATGTGTCGAACATCTGCACTTTAATAATCTTATCTGCATGCGAACACACTGTTTAAGAAACCATTAAACAAAAAAAGCAAATGTGAAGACACGCGTGGTACAATAGGGCTAATCATAGAGGGGGCAGACGGTTTCATTCCCAGGCTGATGAGTTTGTTAAATTGACAGGTCCTTTAATACAACGAACCCCTGAATTCTTTACTGTCTGCTAGATTGATGTGAAGACGCCCACTTTGTGTGTTTTATTTTAAAGTTTACATAAGAAAAACTAGGCATGATGCAAGCAAATAAAACTGTTGTGCATACTTAAACAATTCAGAAAAGTATTGCTAAGGTTTTCAAACACAATAAAAGCAGTAGGTTATCTCAAACTATTTGAGAAGTAGGAGGCTGGAGATTGAAAGTGGAATTGTTGCACTAAACCAGGTTTAATAATTTAATAACATCAGCATCTGCTATAAAGATAACCGGAGATACCTGGGCATCATAGAGGACAGTGAATCCCAATAAAACAGAACTGAGCCAGGGGTTGTGATGGATGAACAGAGACGCTGCATTTGGATTTAATAATGAGTGTACAGCACAAACAACCTGCAACAAGTCTAATGGGTTCCAGGATGTACGGCATCCAACGGCCAATGTCCTAAGGGACAGCAAACGAAAATGACCATTCTAAAGGTTATTCTCCTTGACAGCCTTGGGCTCAGAAATAAACTAGAGTGGAGGGAAGCTTTGTAAATACAGGTCAGACTATGCACTAGGACAGGCAGGAAGCAAATGGGAGTCTGGAACAGAGGATGGGAGTGTTAAGACATTTCCATGGTAATCACAGCCACCATCATTTATGTAACCACAGACATTTGAGGGGATGTGGGAGTAGGTGACAGTGACCACACACTGAGCCACACTGTGTCTGATAGCAACATGTACTGAGCATTCACCACACACTGAGCCACATTGTGTCTGATAGCAGCATGTACTGAGCATTCACCACACACTGAGCCACATTGTGTCTGATAGCAGCATGTACTGAGCATTCACCACACACTGAGCCACATTGTGTCTGATAGCAGCATGTACTGAGCATTCACCACACACTGAGCCACACTGTGTCTGATAGCAGCATGTACTGAGCATTCACCACACACTGAGCCACATTGTGTCTGATAGCAGCATGTACTGAGCATTCACCACACACTGAGCCACATTGTGT